TATCCTCCCTACAGATCTCTACTTTCCCTGACGAATGTTTCCGCATGTCAGACATGTGCAGGGGACCCATGCAAGCACCTCTGTCCCCTGTGCACCGAACTCAGCTGTGGGCTGGTGGCCCCCTCCCCCAGGGACTGTGGAAAGCACTGTCTTCCTCCACGCAAAGTGTCTCGCCTCTCCTTTTGATGGTCTCTTTTAGACTGAGAAAACTGGCAAGATTTATTAAGTGACTACTGTGGCCAACACTAAGCGCTTACTATGTGCCACTGTGGGATGACACCCATTGTCGTCCTCAGCGACCCATGAAGTGATTATGATTTATCCCCTCCTATGGCTGAAGAAGAAATTGGGACTCAGACTGATTAGCTAACTTGCCCACTGCTTCAGAGTAGAATTAGGGTCCAAGGCTATGTCTGACTCACCTGTGGCTCTCAACAGCACAGAGCCACGCTGACAGCCACACTGGGTCCCTGCCCACACCAGTCCCGTTGGGTGAGACGGGAGACAGCTGACCAAGAGGAACAAGTCTGAAGACAAACATTTTAAAATGCCTCAGCGAGCCAGGCAGAGTGGTGCACGTCTGTAATCCCAGCACTCGGGAGGCTGAAGCAGGGGGATCACTGCAAGTTCGAGACCAGCCCAGGCTACAAAGTGAGCTCAAGGCCAGCCTGAGCTGCATAGTGAGACCCTGTCTCACAAAAAGACAAAAAGACAAAAAAAAAAAAAAAAAAAAAAAAAAAAAAAAAAAAAAAAAAAAAGCCTCAGTGATACTGCTTGCAAGAAACTGTTGGCAGGGGCTTCCAAGAACCCAAGTAGACAGGAATCATTTGTAATTACAAACTCATTCTCTGCCTATAAAAGTGCAGCTAAAATCTCTACCTGGCTTGACTTCCCAAAGGGGCCCACCTTCCCTTCCTGTGTCCCCGTTGAGTGGCCAGGGGGAGGCAGAGGGGAGACACATGGCCCAGCCCTTCTCCCCCACGGAAGACACAGGCGGCTGGGTCATGGTGGTCGCCCGCGCTTTCCAGGCGCAGCGGAGTGGAATTGCAGCTCTGAGCCTCCCCCACTGTCTAGGCAGCCTTCAATCACAGGGTGCTGCACTGGCTGTTGGCTGCTTTCTCTTCTCCTTTTTAACCTTGGTAGGTTTAAGGGGGAACTCTTGGCTTTCAGCACCAGAGATGGCTCTTCTGCTAGGGTGGCTTAGCACCTCTCGGCCTCCTCCAGGCAGACCCAACATCTGCGCCCCGGGGAGCGGCAGCGGGCTCCGTCAATAGAGCAATACTGAACAGAGAAGAGGCAGCACAGCCTTCCATCCAGGCCACAGACAAGTGCAAGGGATTCGCAGGCCCAGTGCTGTCCAGGACAAAGGCAGCTGGGGACAGCAAAGCCCAGGGAAGAGTGTGTAGGTCCAGGTACCGTGTACTAAGATTCTTCACCCGGGAATGGAGTCAGTTGCGCCCTGATCTGATTGTGAGAGATTAGAGCCCTGAGGTATCTGGAAACACAGTCCTTTCACGGTGACTTGAAAGAGAACAGGGAGTCTAGTATGACTGCCCTGTTTACAGATACAGAAACTGCAGTGCACAGAGGGAAAGTGACCTATCAGGGCTGGCTGGAGACAGAGCCGGGACCAGGGTCAGGTTTGCAGACTCCCGAACTGATGGTCCTCCTACTCCTTTAGCTGCTGAATTTAGCAACTTCACCTACCTCTCCCAACCCTTCTAGGCCACACCATGGGCAGAATCGGGTCCCTGGATCCGAAAGGAGCTGTGGGCACGTGGGGGTGCCAAAGGGTACTCTGGACTCCACGCTGCTTCTGTGCAGCTGCTGACGCTGTCTAAGGAGCCAACTGGGAGTGAGGATATGAAATGGATTTTCCGCGTGAGCTCACCAGCATGTGCTCAGGGGCAGTGTCCTGCTTTTCCATAATCTACTTGCTCTTTAGAACAGGGCCTGGAGAGCACGCCTGTAATCCCAGCACTCTGTGGGGCTGAGAGAGGCGGATCACAAGCTTGAACCCAGCGTGGGCAATGTCTTTTGCTACGGGGTCTCACTACGTAGTTCAGGTAAGTTCTGATCCTACTGTGTAGCCCAGGCTGGCCTTGAACTCACAGTCCTCAGTGATCCTCCAGCCTCAGCCTCCCTAGTGCTAGGATCACAGGCATGCATCACATCTGGCCAGTGAGGATGTTTTAAAAGTAAAAAACAAAAAAGGGCTGGAAATGTAGCTCAGTTTGAAGACCCTGGGTTCAACCTCCAGTACTGAAAAATAAAACTCTATATGGCTGGCTAGGCCAGTCATCCCGGCCCCTTGGCTCCCATTTTTATCCTCCTTACGCCTCCTCAAAAAACTAGCCTCACATTATTTTAGCAAAGAAGCAACCAGGAAACGGCTCAAATGTTCACCTATTTTAGGACGTCAAAATCCACTCGTGGGCACTACACCACCCAGGGCAATCTCCCCTGGAAGGCTCAGTAGCAACGTGGGCCAGATGTGGGCTGCAGCAGGGTAGTGAGAGGGCTGGAAGGGGTCCGTGCGGATTATTTCTAAAACGACAGCAGCAGTGTATTAGGAGGGTAGAATAGACATAATTTCCCTCTCTGGTTTCTAAACTTTGCCCAGCACTGCTAAATTGCTTTTATAACAATAAAATGGCAATAAACCCAGCTGCTTCAGAACCAGCACTCTTAAGAACCCACCTAGATCTGCCTTCTTTGCCCCACGAGGTCAGCAGAACACGGGCCTCTCCCTAGGTAACCAGGGAGCAGCAGCTGCTGGGGGGTAACACAGAGGTGCTAGATCCCTGGCCTCTCCCCTGGGTAAGGAAAGTGCTTTACCTGTCACCTCTTCGCCTATGAACACGCACATGCATCTTTTCCCTCGCTGCCATGCATGTGCACCTGAGCATGCTCTCTGTCTCTGTCTCTCTGTCTCTCTGTCTGTCTCTCTGTCTCTCTGTCTCTGTCTCTGTCTCTCTCTCTCTCTCTCACACACACACACACACACTCTACCCATGCTCTGTAACTAGTACGGGGGGAAGGCCACACTATAGTCCCAAGAGCGAAGCCTTTCCCAACACTGACTCTCTTGTGCAGTCCCAGAGTTTAGATTAGCTGTAAACCACCTAGTTGTACGCTTTCAAACTGACAAAACTACCCCAGCTCTCATCTGGCAGAAATTCAAAGTGAGACTTAAGTGGCTTAGATAATTCCTGGTAAAGGCTAGTGAGACAAGGGTTCAGGTCAGAGTGGCTAGGTTTGAATGCCGGCTCCTCCACTCCTGGGCTGTGGGTCTGTGAGGAAGTCACTCAGTGTCTGTTCCTCAGGAAGAACTCCTACTTCTAGGCCTTTATACGAACTAGATGACTTAATAACAAAGCAGCTAGACCAGTGCTCGGAGTTTGTACACACTACATAAATACTCCATTGTGCTTTTGTTCGCTTGAGACAGGGTCTATTTACTTCAGACTGGCCCCGAACTCATCGTGCAGCCCCCAGCTTGCAATTCCCTTGTCTCAGCCTCCAGGTGCTGGGATTACAGACCAGGGCCACAGAGCCCAGCGCTTGCTTTTTATTATTAGGCATCTACTGAGTTATCACACCCAAGTAAGAAGCTCACACTCCATTGTGTAGTAGAATAACAAAAGACTTTTTCCTTTTAGGAAAATGCAAATAATTCTACATAGACTTGCACATAATTCTAAGAAAGGCCTGAGAAAGAATACTTACCTTTTCCATGTGAACTTGGAAAAAAATACCCACAGTTCAGTCTTTCAAATCCAACTAAAGGACTGAACTCTAACTGGTTGCAAATTAAGACAAAGGTTCGGTACACAGCAAGCCTTTGGAAAATATTCCTATTCAGTGCCATCTACCTAACCTCTCTGGGCAATTTTCTTCCTCCTTTAGCTCATATCCTTGATCACATAGAAAATAATCGAGGGGTCCAGCCCTGGGGCACAGGCTGGGGAGGCGATTCGGGTCAAGGTGACGAATCTTTCTGCGTCTCCGTTCTTCATCTTAAAACAACCAGTCAATATTTAGAGAGGGAGAGGTTGGGAGGCTTCGCCGACTGGCTTAACTACAACGGCTTTGTGAGCATGTAAATGTACAGTGGATTTAATAACTGATGAAAGAAAAAATGCAGCCATCGACATCCAGTCTCAGACTCACGCCAGTCCTTTACACGCGCTCGTTTCTTGGTCAGAGGTGCGGCTGTCTGCGGCCCAGGGATCCGGCCGACCTTGCAGCCCCACCCTGAGGTGGGAGCTGGTGCTGGGCTGCTCCAGGCCACGCCGAGGCCCACCCACCTCCCCTGGCCGCCTCCGCGCGCCGAAGCCGGCAAGCGTGAGTGTGCCGGACTCCCTAACCTCTTCCAGGCGCAGGCCCAGCGGGCAGCCCCCGCCGCCCCAAAACTTCATCCGGCACACGCAGCCTGGCAACTTTCCTGAACTCCCGGCGCCCAACAGCGTCGCCAGCCCGCAGCGGGAGCGCGCAGAGCCGCGGACTGAGAGCTGCGCGGATCCGGGACACCTCCAGCGCCCGGAGACCGCGACGCGGACCCAAGGCGCGCAAGTGCGGGGCGGGGGGCGCGGGCTCCTACGTTCCGGGAAGGGAGGTTTTCCGCGGAGAGGAGGCAGGAAAGTGCGTCCAGTACCAAACGGAAGGCGGCAGGTGAGAGGGTGCCAGGGCAGGGCGGAGAGGCCACCTCCGAGAGCCTCGGGTCGCGGGTTGGGGTGCGCGGGAAGGGTGGGCGGGGGAACCGGGCGTTGGCCCTGAAGCCAGGAGATCCTCCGCGCACAGTCGGCTGCTCAGGTGGGCGGACCCTGCACGGCGGCAGCTTCCTCACGTAGACCCCCCCATTCTCTCCCTACAGCCCAAGCCCGCTCCAAGGTCCGGGGAGAGGGGGCGAGGCTCACCGCAAGCCCGGGCGCCCCTCCCCCAGCGCGCCCCCAGCCCACGCCCGTCCCGCGCCGGGGCGCCCACGCTGGGGCGCTTACCTTGACGAGCCGGAGCTGCGGGCGCCGTCCCATCCTCGGTGGCACCGTCAGCGTCCTGGGTACCCGGGTGCCTCGGACATCCCCCAGGACTCGCCCGCGACGCGGACCCGCGCCGAGCCGTGGGCT